GACAGCACCTTACCTAGGTGACCAAGGTCAGCACCAAAGTGCCAAACCAGGCTAATAAAGACATCTCTGACATGAGATGAGGACAGTGCAAATTAATTTATGTGATCTGCCTCCCCAAAACTCTAACCTTGACACAACCCAGCAATATTTTATGAAATACCTAACCAGTTACTCCCCAAAACTTTCAAGGTCATCCAAAACAAGGAAAAGTCTGACAAAATAATAATGTGGAGACTAAGGAACAAAGACCAAAGTAATGTAGCATCCTGGATGGGCCCTGGGACAGAACCCAGTGAACATATACAGTATAACCTGTACTCAAAAAACAGTGTAGGGGGCCTGGGCCTAGCTCAGTCCTTTAAGTGGCTGCTTCCACAAAGCTGTCAGCCTCAGGTGGCTGGAGTTTGAACCTCACAACTCTCCCGCTGGCCAAACATGCCCTGAAGGCATGCGAGGAACAAAAAAAAAAAACAGTGTATCAGGGCCGGTGAGATAGCTCATCAGACTTAGACCTGGTTAGGCAAGCGCAGGGACCAGGGTTTGATCTCCTGCACCACACGCCACACCAGCCTGGGCACCAACCCCGCCCCCTACAGGCTGAGCTGGCCACCCAGACCAGGCATAGTAGTATACACCTGTAATCCCAGCGCTAGGGAGGCTGAAAACAGGAGGATCACTACAAGTCCAAGCTGTGTAGTGAGACCCTATAACAAATACATTAAAAAAAAAAAAAAAATCAAACAGCCTATCAACAAGTGAGGATGGCTAGCCAGATAGCTCAGTGGACTAAAGCACCTGCTTAGGCAGACACAGGGAGCAGGATTCAATGCCCCATGTGCCGTACCAGTCCCACCCCTAGCGCACACTGAGCAACAAATGAGACTGGGCATGGCAGCGTGAGCCTGTAATCCTAGCACTTGGGAGGCTGGAAACAGGAGGATCACTATGAGTCTAATCTGCGGATGTACTAAACACTTTAAAAAAAAAAAAAAAAAAAGTGAGGAACCATGAGATTTTGCTAAACACAGTTGGAAAGCATAGTAAAAATACTCACCAATCCATACTGATATAAGTGCCTGACTAAGAGTAGACAAATCTCCCACACAGAAAAACTATAAATAACTTGTGTAGGTGAAGCTTAACTCCACTTAATGATTTGCCTCCCAAAAGGACATGAGGGAAACACCAGTGAAATCCAAATCAAGTGTGGGGCTTAGCTCATAATAATGTACCAATGTCTGTTTCTCAGCAGAAGCAAATATACATAAAGGGCTGGGAATGTAGCTCAGCGCAAAGTCTCTACATTCAATTCTCCCCGCCCCCCCCGTGTATATGTGTGTGTGTGTGTGTGTGTGTGTGTGTGTGTGTATATATTCATATGAATCTATTTCTAAAATAAGTTTGTTTTTATTTTAAAGCGGCATGACATGACATTAGATGGGATGTCAGGAAATTAGAAGATTAACAAAAGAATCTAACTGTGCAAAAGAAAAGTACATAGTAAATACTTAGGTAACCACCAGTCACTGACCATTACACCTTCAGAGATAATTCTTAGAAATTCAAAATATACATTTTCAAAAAAGGGACACAAGGAAAGACTTCTAACTTCTAAGAGCAGCATTCAACCCACATCAGGATCTTGTCTTTACATATAAAGAACAGATCTCAACCCAATAAAGCCTAAAGACACTAAGAGTTAAGTTGAAAATAACCAGAGACAAGTCAAGCATGGTGGCATATGTCTATAATCCCAGCACTCCGAGAAGTTGGGGCAAGGCCAGCTTGGCCAAGTCAACAAGACCCTGTCCAGAAAAAAAAAAAAAAAA